TGACCGAGTGGCCCGGTTGTTACTTCAATTCCAGTCGTAAAGCCGCGCTCCGGGTGAGCGGGAGTGCAGGAGCCCAACTGGCGAAACTTCTTAAGATCATCCATTGAAACATTGTAGCCGGCGAGGTGCAGCATCGCGTACTGCAAGGCACAAGCGTGTCCATTAGATAACACAAAACGATCCCGATCCGTCCAAGAAGGGTCCTTGCTGTCATACTTCATCACCTCTGACCACAGAACGTGAGCGATGGGTGCCATGCCCATCGGCGTTCCGGGGTGCCCACTGTTTGCCTCCTGCACAACGTCCGCTGCAAGACAGCGGATGCAGTTTGCCACCAATTCGTCCTTTTTACTGTTATTCATAGTTATTCTTTTAGTTACTCAATGCTGAACCTCGTTATACGTCCATAAAACAATCAAACGACAAGAAAAAGGAAAGAAAAGCATAGGAGAGAAGTGGTGCGGTCCGGTAACAAGGCAAGGAATGCATTTAAGAAAAAGTTGCAGAAACCGACAGCAAAACAAGAGAGACACACAATGCGTGAGACGCATGGCCTCTCTCCCTCCCCTCTGGCCTAAAAAATTAGAGGTAACACAAAAAATGAAAACAAATTAGGTAGTGGGTGCATCACCATGAGTGGTGGTGGTGGCGCCTCCTCCCGTCTCCCGAACATCCTTTCTCTACCGCTTCTTCTTCTCGAGCTTCTTCAGATAGAACTGCAGTTCGGCGCCCTCCAGCAGTGCACCATCGGCGCGGGCTGTCTGGCCAGGGCGGCTGGTGATGCGGGCGAGCAGACGGCCCTCCTTGAGCTGATCAGCAACTGCCTTCTCAATCTTGTGGTTCTCGCGGCGGAGCATCCACTTACGCTTCAGCTCGTCGGAGGCCTTCTTGACGTCGTACTTCTCAGTCATGGCGTGTGAGGTCTTCTTCGACTTCTTCTTCTCCGTCGTGCTCTGCGCCGTCTTCTTGCTCTTCGCGGCGTCAAGATCGATACCGTAGTGCTTCGCGTACCATAACTTGAAGGGCGCGGCGTCCACCACAACAATGCAGTTCTTCACAAGCGTCTTCGTGCGCACCAGCTCGTTAGAAGTGGCGTTGTACACGACGTCGAGGATACGGGCCCGCTGAGCAATGGCTTCTGTGCCCCACGCAAAATTGCCGGTGTCCAGGCGAAGACCGCGGAGCTTGAAGTTCCCACCGCGGGCGCGGACGGGACTCACGCGGCGGGCGCCGAGCTTCGTGTGCGCGGGAAGACGGCCGAGTTCGGCCTTCATGCGCTTCCGGTGGATCTTCGTCTTTCCACCGGTGATCTTGCGCTTATGCAGGCGGCTGCGAACGATACCCATGGCTGCTCTCCTACTGTTGATGCATGGTATTGTTTTCAGTGACAGCGAGATTTGAAGTGAGCGCAACAAAAAGGAAAGAAAAGCATAGGAGAGAAGTGGTGCGGTCCGGTAACAAGGCAAGGAATGCATTTAAGAAAAAGTTGCAGAAACCGACAGCAAAACAAGAGAGACACACAATGCGTGAGACGCATGGCCTCTCTCCCTCCCCTCTGGCCTAAAAAATTAGAGGTAACACAAAAAATGAAAACAAATTAGGTAGTGGGTGCATCACCATGAGTGGTGGTGGTGGCGCCTCCTCCCGTCTCCCGAACATCCTTTCTCTACCGCTTCTTCTTCTCGAGCTTCTTCAGATAGAACTGCAGTTCGGCGCCCTCCAGCAGTGCACCATCGGCGCGGGCTGTCTGGCCAGGGCGGCTGGTGATGCGGGCGAGCAGACGGCCCTCCTTGAGCTGATCAGCAACTGCCTTCTCAATCTTGTGGTTCTCGCGGCGGAGCATCCACTTACGCTTCAGCTCGTCGGAGGCCTTCTTGACGTCGTACTTCTCAGTCATGGCGTGTGAGGTCTTCTTCGACTTCTTCTTCTCCGTCGTGCTCTGCGCCGTCTTCTTGCTCTTCGCGGCGTCAAGATCGATACCGTAGTGCTTCGCGTACCATAACTTGAAGGGCGCGGCGTCCACCACAACAATGCAGTTCTTCACAAGCGTCTTCGTGCGCACCAGCTCGTTAGAAGTGGCGTTGTACACGACGTCGAGGATACGGGCCCGCTGAGCAATGGCTTCTGTGCCCCACGCAAAATTGCCGGTGTCCAGGCGAAGACCGCGGAGCTTGAAGTTCCCACCGCGGGCGCGGACGGGACTCACGCGGCGGGCGCCGAGCTTCGTGTGCGCGGGAAGACGGCCGAGTTCGGCCTTCATGCGCTTCCGGTGGATCTTCGTCTTTCCACCGGTGATCTTGCGCTTATGCAGGCGGCTGCGAACGATACCCATGGCTGCTCTCCTACTGTTGATGCATG